AATTGATTGCAGAGCCTGTGATTTATGAAGAAGAATGTGGTATTATGATCCAAGGAAGACTCAACAATAACCTATGTTATGTAGATGAGACAACTTTGCTGAAAGTAAGGAAAACTTGAAGCACTTGCTATAAAAGATGCAAGAATAAAGCCTTCAATATGAATTGCATCTCAATGTCAAGAAAACAAAAACTCTCACCACTGGACAACATCATGATAGAGAAAAGATTGAAACTGTCAATGACTTCATCTTTTTTGGATCCATTGTATCAATAGATGGAAAATCGAGAGCCATACTGCATTGGGAAAATCTGCAGTTAGAGATTGCTACAAATTTTTGAAGAACAATGATCTCAGTTTGAGGACTAAAGCGTGCCTCATTCAGACCATGGTCTTTTAAATCACATGCTATGCACCTGAAAGATATAGAATAAATATGGATAACAGAACAATTGGTGCCTTTTAACCATGGTTCTGGAAAAGAGTCCTGAATTCCTATGGACTGTCTAAAGAAAAAAAAAACCCACCCAAAACACAACACCCAAACACCCCGATCTGTCTTGGAGAAGCTCCAACCAGAGTGTTCCTTGGAGGCAAAGATGATAGGGGTTTGTCTCATATACTTTGGGCATGTTGCCAAGAGAGGCTATTCCTTTGAGAGGTACTTCATGCTTTGGAAATATAGAGGGTTTGCAAAAAAAAGAAGAAAAAAAAAGACCCTTAACCAGATGGACTGACAAACTAACTGCATCAAAGAGCTCAAATATATCAGAGAATGTGAGAATGGCATAGGATATAACAGGGTTCAGATCTGTTGTTCATAGGGTCAATATGGATTATACTTGACTCAACAGCACCTAACACCACCACCACCACCACCACCACCCAACCTATATGCTAAACAAAGCATTAGAGAAGCTGGACCATAAGAAATAGAATGTGGTATCAGGATTGGAGGAAAATTCATCAACAGCATGTGTTATACAGGTGACATAATTTTGCTTGCTAAAAGTAAGGAGGACTTGAAATACTTGGTGCAAAGGATCAAAGACTACAATCTTCAATATGGGTTTTATCTTAAGCATCAATAAAACAAAATCCTTACCATTCAGCCTATAGACAACATCATGATAGATGGAGAAGGGATAGAAACTGTCAATTATTTCATTTTACTTGGATCCACAATCAACACTCTTGGCACCAGCAGTCAGGAACTCAAATGATGAATTGCTTTGGGAATGTCTGCCTCCAGGGATCTTTCCAAAGTGCTGAAGAACAATGATGTCAATTTGAATACTAAGGTGCACCTTAAGATGTTGTCTTCTCAATTGCTTGTTATGTATCTAAAAATTGTACAATGACTAAGGATGACAAAAGAAGAATCAGCACCATAGAGTTGTGCTATTGGAGAAGAGCACTGACTATTCCAAAAAGGCAAACAAAGATGTCTTAGGAAAGGTGCAGCCAGGGTGCTCTCTTACCAGTAAGGATAATGAAAATTCATCTCACATACTTCGGGCATGTTGTTAGGAGAAACCAGTCCTTGGAAAAGGACATCATGCTTGGAAATGTGGAAGGGCAGTGAAAGAGGTGCAGACCCTCAACGTGATGAATTGTCACAGAGACTGTTAAAGTAGGTTCTAGTGTGTCAGAGATGATGAGGATAGCAAAAGATAGGACAGGGTTAGGAACAGCAACAGTTGTAGTCCTTAGGGAGTTGCACTCCAACCCAAAGTTGGCATCTCTCTGGTGCTTCAAATTCACCAGTTGACTCAGAAGGAGAAAGATGGTTGACTGGTTGTGTCTCAGTGGTAATGAGTTTGTGAGTCTGCCAAGCTTGTTTGGTTTCTCTTATTTCCCAGTCAGTTTGGAGAGTCCAAGTCTGGAAAAACCATTTGAAGGAGTTGAGGGTACTTTTCCGTTTTTAACTTTGGAGAACACTTAACTTGGAGCATGTCTGGTTAGTAATCATGCCTAGAAATCCCAAGGGTGGTGATTGCTCCTCCCTACAGACCTTTGGGAAAATCCTTACCAATCAGTTGATTAGCAAATAATTTCAGGCTTTCCTAGAAGCAATAGAGTGAAAGATACCTAAAAGTTGGATAACTTTGCAGAGCTCAGTTTGACCAGAGATGCTCTTTTAAATTATTTTAGAACCGGTGGACTTTATCTCATGTTTCTTTCATTAACAATGACAAAAGTTTGGGAGAAAAGCCTTCTTACTTTAAAGAGAAGAAGAAGAAAAATATATGCTAAAAAGATCCACTTTCAGGTTCTGGGGAGTATTGGTAATGTTATAGATTGCTCATGGAGAAGAAATCTGGAGAACAGCCAGCTGGCCCACTGACTGGAAAAGATCGAT